GGGATATAACTGAATTGTTGCTGAGTACAGACAGCCATGATATCACTGTAATGTTGCTGCTGGGATATAACTGAATTGTTGCTGAGTACAGACAGCCATGATATCATCATAAGGTTGCCGCAGGGGATATAACTGAATTGTTGCTGAGTACAGACAGCCATGATATCATTGTAATGTTACCGCGGGGATATAACTGAATTGTTGCTCAGTACAGACAGCCATGATATCACTGTAATGTTGCTGCCGGGATAAAGCTGAATTGTTGCTGATTACAGACAGCCATGATATCAATGTAATGTTGCTGCCTGGATATAACTGAATTGTTGCTGAGTAGAGACAGTTATGATATGACTGTATTGTTGCAGCGGGGATATAACTGAATTGTTGCTGATTACAGACAGCCATGATATCACTGTAATGTTGCAGCGGGGACATAACTGAATTGTTGCTGAGTACAGACAGCCATGATATCACTGTAATGTTGCTGCTGGGTATATAACTGAGTTGTTGCTGAGTACAGACCGCCATGATATCACTGTAATGTTGCCGCGGGGATATAACTGAATTGTTGCTGAGTACAGACAGCCATGATATCACTGTAATGTTGCAGCCGGGATATAACTGAATTGTTGCTGATAACAGACAGCCATGATATCAATGTAATGTTGCTGCCGGGATATTACTGAATTGTTGCTGAGTACAGACAGCCATGATATCACTGTAATGTTGCTGCTGGGATATAACTGAATTGTTGCTGATTACAGACAGCCATGATATCACTGTAATGTTGCAGCGGGGATATAACTGAATTGTTGCTGATTACAGACAGCCATGATATCACTGTAATGTTGCTGCCGGGATATAACTGAATTGTTGCTGATTACAGACAGCCATGATATCACTGTAATGTTGCCGCCGGGATATAACTGAATTGTTGCTGAGTACAGACAGCCATAATATGACTGTAATGTTGCCGCTGGGATGTAACTGAATTGTTGCTGAGTACAGACAGTCATAATATGACTGTAATGTTGCTGACGGTTTATAAGTGAATTGCTGCTGAGTGCAGACAGTCATGATATCACTGTAATGTTGCCGCCGGGATATAACTGAATTGTTGCTGATTACAGACAGCCATGATATCACTGTAATGTTGCAGCGGGGATATAACTGAATTGTTGCTGAGTACAGACAGCCATGATATCACTGTAATGTTGCAGCGGGGATATAACTGAATTGTTGCTGAGTACAGACAGCCATGATATCACTGTAATGTTGCTGCTGGGATATAACTGAATTGTTGCTGAGTACAGACAGCCATGATATCACTGTAATGTTGCCGCGGGGATATAACTGAATTGTTGCTGAGTACAGACAGCCATGATATCACTGTAATGTTGCAGCCGGGATATAACTGAATTGTTGCTGAGTACAGACAGCCATGATATCACTGTAATGTTGCAGCGGGGATATAACTGAATTGTTGCTGAGTACAGACAGCCATGATATCACTGTAATGTTGCCGCTGGGATATAACTGAATTGTTGCTGAGTACAGACAGCCATGATATGACTGTAATGTTGCTGCGGGGATATAACTGAATTGTTGCTGAGTACAGACAGCCATGATATCACTGTAATGTTGCAGCGGGGATATAACTGAATTGTTGCTGATTACAGACAGCCATGATATCACTGTAATGTTGCTGCCGGGATATAACTGAATTGTTGCTGAGTACAGACAGCCATGATATCACTGTAATGTTGCAGCCGGGATATAACTGAATTGTTGCTGATTACAGACAGCCATGATATGACTGTAATGTTGCCGCCGGGATATAACTGAATTGTTGCTGAGTACAGACAGTCATAATATGACTGTAATGTTGCTGACGGTTTATAACTGAATTGTTGCTGAGTGCAGACAGTCATGATATCACTGTAATGTTGCCGCCGGGATATAACTGAATTGTTGCTGATTACGGACAGCCATGATATGACTGTATTGTTGCAGCGGGGATATAACTGAATTGTTGCTGAGTACAGACAGCCATGATATGACTGTAATGTTGCCGCTGGGTATATAACTGAATTGTTGCTGAGTACAGACAGCCATGATATCACTGTAATGTTGCTGCCAGGATATATCTGAAATGTTGCTGAGTACAGACAGCCGTGATATCACTGTAATGTTGCTGCCGGGATATAACTGAATTGTTGCTGAGTACAGACAGCTATGATATCACTATAATGTTGCTGCCGGGATATAACTGAATTGTTGCTGAGTACAGACAGCCATGATATCACTGTAATGTTGCGGCGAGGATATAACTGAATTGTTGCTGATTACAGACAGCCTTGATATCACTGTAATGTTGCTGCCGGGATATAACTGAATTGTTGCTTATTACAGACAGCCATGATATCACTGTAATGTTGCTGCCGGGATATAACTGAATTGTTGCTGAGTACAGACAGTCATAATATGACTGTAATGTTGCTGACGGTTTATTACTGAATTGTTGCTGAGTGCTGACAGTCATGATATCACTGTAATGTTGCAGTCGGGATATAACTGAATTGTTGCCAGCCATGATATGGCAGCGGGATATAACTGAATTGTTGCTGAGTACAGACAGCCATGATATGACTGTAATGTTGCCGCTGGGGATATAACTGAATTGTTGCTGAGTACAGACAGCCATGATATCACTGTAATGTTGCTGCCAGGATATATCTGAAATGTTGCTGAGTACAGACAGCCGTGATATCACTGTAATGTTGCTGCCGGGATAAAACTGAATTGTTGCTGAGTACAGACAGCTATGATATCACTATAATGTTGCTGCTGGGATATAACTGAATTGTTGCTGAGTACAGACAGCCATGATATCACTGTAATGTTGCCGCCGGAATATATAGAGATAATCTCACCCAAGTGTCTTCTGATATCAATTATATCAACACGAGTTGATAAAGTTACAAATATCCGAGGCTTGCCAAGGATATTTTAACTTTTATCAACGAGTGTTGATATATTTGATATCAAAAGATACGAGGGTGAGATTCTATTTATCATCCAAAATCACTCTTGATTAATTTTCAATGAAACATGTACATATCTGAACACGGTACTGCCAATAGACTTGCAGTGCAGCGATGTTATATCATTGTGACGTCATCAAGTACATGACGTCATATCATTGTCTGGGCATTGTACAAAATCTACTGTCAAAACGATATCTCCTAGGATATATCGTTTGATCTCACACAAGCGATATCTCCTGTGGAACACAGTTTTGGATGATAAAACTGAATTGTTGCTGAGTACAGACAGAAATAATATGACAATAATGTTGCTGCCGCGATGTAACTGAATTATTGCGGAGTACAGACAGAAATAATATGGCAATAATGTTGCCACCACGATGTAACTGAATTATTGCTGAGTACAGACAGAAATGATATGACAATAATGTTGCTGCCGGGATATAACTGAATTGTTGCTGAGTACAAACATAAATAATATGACAATAATGTTGCCGCCGGGATATAACTGAATTGTTGCTGAGTACAGACAGAAATAATATGACAATAATGTTGCTGCCGGGATATAACTGAATTGTTGCGGAGTACAGACAGAAATAATATGGCATAGTGTCGCCTGCAATCTGATTCCCTCCTGACTTAAAGCATCATGTATGGGAGTGATGGTATCGATGATAGTTCCCATACTAGGGCTGAAGTAACTGTGTCGTGTTCAGAGTGCAGATTACACCATATGTTTTACTGATTATTTGGAACTCCCTCAAGGAAAGAAAATATGTTCGCCCGTCATGATGCCGATGCCAGTCTGGGGCATAGGTGGCGCGTTGTAGTTCCTGGGAGATGACAGATAGGTTGTGTTTCCTGGTAAATGACACAGGTTGTGTTTCCTGGTAAATGACACAGGTTATGTTTCCTGGTAAATAACACAGGTTGTGTTTCCTGGTAAATGACACAGGTTGAGTTCCCTGTTAAATGACACAAGCTATGTTTCCTGGTAAATGACACAGGTTGTGTTTCCTGGTAAATGACAGATAGGTTTTGTTTCCTGGTTAATGATAGATAGGTTGTGTTTCCTAGTAGATGTCAGACAGGTTGTGTTTCCTGGTAGATGACAGACAGGTATTTCCTGGTAGATGACAGATAGCTTTTGTTTCCTGGTAGATGACAGATAGGTTGTATTTCCTGGTACATGACAAATAGGTTGTATTTCCTGGTAGATGACAGAGAGTTTGTATTTCCTGGTAGATGACAGACAGGTTTGTGTTTCCTGGTACATGACAGATAGGTTGTGTTTCCTGGTAGATGACAGATAGGTTGTGTTTCCTGTTATGTGACAGACAGGTTGTATTTCCTTGTAGATGACAGACAGGTTTGTGTTTCCTGGTACATGACAGATAGGTTGTGTTTCCTGGTTAATGATAGATAGGTTGTGTTTCCTAGTAGATGTCAGACAGGTTGTGTTTCCTGGTAGATGACAGACAGGTATTTCCTGGTAGATGACAGATAGCTTTTGTTTCCTGGTAGATGACAGATAGGTTGTATTTCCTGGTACATGACAAATAGGTTGTATTTCCTGGTAGATGACAGAGAGTTTGTATTTCCTGGTAGATGACAGACAGGTTTGTGTTTCCTGGTACATGACAGATAGGTTGTGTTTCCTGGTAGATGACAGATAGGTTGTGTTTCCTGTTATGTGACAGACAGGTTGTATTTCCTTGTAGATGACAGACAGGTTTGTGTTTCCTGGTACATGACAGATAGGTTGTGTTCCCGGTTTGATAACAGGTCTGTCTGTATAATGCCTCTTTGACAGTGTAGGACTTGAATCTAGAAATATGTTGTATTTAGGGATGGTAAACAATATGTAAACGTATCATATATAATCTGTGTATGTCGCGAATAAGTATAGAATGGAATTCACAATGCGTTTACCAAATTGTTTGTGTGTTTCAGGGTACGTGACAAACCTATACAGGGAGGGAGATGAGGTGATTGGCCTGGTCTGTCCACAGATCGCCAACAGGTTGTCCTCCATAGCAGAGGAAGGTATTTCATTGTGCCATTCGCTCAAACTTGTGAAAATCCGGGTTAGAATTGGTCTAAAGTAACCCATGCTTGTCGTAAGAGGCGACTAACGGCATCGGGTGGTTAACCTCGCTGACTTGTTGACACATGTCATCGTATCCCAATTGCGTAAATCGATGCACATGCTGTTGATCACTGGATTGTCTGGTCCAGACTCGTTTTTTAACAGACCGTCGCCATATAGCTGGAATATTGCTGAGTGCGGCTTTAAGCAACAAACCAACCAACAAACCTTGCCTCACACAGTCAGTTCATGGAGAGCAACACCCAAAGAGGAAGTGCCGTAAAATCTTTCTATGTGCACCCTCCGTGGTGCAATCACAGAAATACAATTTGATGTACTCTCAGTAGGACCTATTAAATCGAACCGTATCCTGCGAAGGCCTAAAACAATTTCTTTTATCGTATTGATTGTCATTTATCACAGTGTGAAAACGGGTGCAAAGCGATTGTTTATCTCCAAGTGCGCTGTGCATCACGTTCAAGTACAGTCCGTTTGATTTCATTTGACACCGATGAATTGCTCACTAACAGAAAATCTTATAACTGCTACCAAATTTTGCACAGTCACATGAAATCGACAGATCAACTCTGATGATTTGTCGCCTAATTTTGGACAGCCAGGTGTGCGAATTTCACGTGTGAAATTGAAATTTCACTGCACACACTTGTTGATTACCTGGCTGTTCTACCAGCTAGTGACCACACCCACCGCCCTCGTTAAAAAGCGTTAAATAGCGAAAAGTGACAACAAAATAATGATCGTTTGTAAAACAACTTTTTTATTCAGGTGTCCAAAACTTTAAGACAAATCATCAGAGTTGGTCTGTCGATTTCATGTGACTGTGCAAAATTTGGTTTTACTGTAATTATTAGATTTTGTGTTAGTGAGCAATTCATTGGTGTCTAATGAAATCAAACGGACTGTAAGGTCAATGTTAATATGCATTAGGCGAAGCCTCTTCGGTGTAAGGAGCATATGGAATCCGGGTTCGTGGTTTACTCCAGTTGTCCACTATGTGTGAGAATGAATGCACAACTGTTTTAAAAGTTATGTTTTACATGTGAGGTAAGACAAAACGTTCCCCAAGATACGCCCCATTAATTAATCCGGTTTGCTTGTTCCAGAAAAGAACCCAGACGGCATCATGAGAATTATTGAGGATGAGCACAAACGTATCCAAGAAACAATAGATCGTTTTACAATGCGCATTGAGACTACCCAGGTGAGCTTCAGTCGTTCAAAAGACGACGTACTGTGTGATCCTGTTATATCGAACTTCGAGATTCCGAGACGTATTTTGAGCTAACTTAAGTGTGTTCGTACTAGATTAAATGTATCAGCTTGTATCGCTGTAGTGTTAATCCCATGACACTCAACCTTGACCCACCCTTACATTATTCTGGTCGCCTTTGGGACGTATCTGGAGTGCCCGGACATTCTGTGTCCCCTCTCCTAATTTAGAGCTGGATGAGGGACTCCCTTTTATATGTTCTTCCCAGCCAATTGTTGCTATGATCAAAACGGTTCATTATATGGGTATTTTGTTTCAGGTCAAAGGGGAGGTAATCACTGCTAACGGGATATCTCCCGGACAAACAATTGTGGAGATGGCAGCGTCTCGTGGTGTCAGTTTCATCGTCATTGGTTCACGTGGCCGAGGTGTCAAGAGACGCACTCCCATTGGCCACGTGTGCGACTTCGTCATGAACAACGCCACGGTGCCTGTCATGATCTGCAAGGATGCATAGTGACATTGCTGTAACTTGGAGGATGAATCATGTTGCGTTCACGTTAAATTGGCTTATTACTTGCCATGAAAAGAATGTTATGAGATTCCACCGGCCTTAGGGATTGGGCATCTGTTATGAGGGCGGTGGAGCAGACTAATGGTTAAAGCGTCCGCCCGTCACGTTGAAGACCCGGGTTCGATTCCCCACATGGGTACAATGTGAGAAGCCCATTTCTGGTGTCCCCTGCAGTGATATTGCTGATAAGCAGCGTAAAACCCAATTCACTCACTCATCTGTTATGAGCACGGGAGGCGGTCGGATTGGTTTCAATACCACCCCAGGGTTCTGTTACACTAATAAGCCACGCCCACTTCTCCCCAAAATACATGTAACAAGTTTGTGTGCCCCTCCTTGTTATAATAGATGTCCAGTTCCTCAATAATGGACAAACGTGAAACTAATACATTTGAAAATATATAATATTGTTATTCTTTTATGTACCCTAAGTGTGTTTATCATCTGTCAACATTAAGATCTGACTAATAACTGGTAACATATGCTCGCAATGGTATATTGAGTGAAAACCACATCGGTATGTGACAGAGCTTGTCAACAGACGAATACTGTATCAACACACATACATAGGACGTTTTATTTAGAGCTATTATAATGTCTTTATATACCTCTGATTTTCCAACACAGTATGTTTATCTCCTAAGTTTCACATCAACTGGTATTAGACCGATCCAAGTTCTATTCAATTACACAGTTCGTTTAGGCTTAAAGGCCTTGTGTAACAGATGCAGCTGAATCTGCAAACAAAGTAATGCACACTAACGTGCCACGATATGTCCATAAAACACAAAATAATGTACAAAGTATCCTAATATATAGCAAGAAAGGACACATGCTTCTCAGACCTACAGATTTTGTCAGTACCCATGTGTAAATCTATTCCGATCCAATATACATGATGCTCCACAAATAATATTTACACGAATATCCGATTAATATTCAAAACATTGCACTCTTGGTCTCGTGTAATGCGTTGCCACGTATGCGAAATGAATCCGTGTGCGTGTGTGCGTGCGTGCGTGCGCAATTGGCTTTGCTGCAAATAAGGGCGGCGGGATAGACTTGTTATGTAAAAAGTCCAGGTGTGGTATTGCTGGAATATTACTAAAGGCGGTATACAATCTACGGAAGCGTTCTAGTGCCACAGTCAGAATTTTTTATCTCCTAATTAGGTTTTAGCTAATTAATCTCCTAATTAGGTGATACTATCTTCTAATTAGGACTTAATATCTCCTAATTAGGACATAGTATCTCCTTAATAGGACTTAATATTTCCTTTTCAAAGTCTTCATGCTGATAATGATGCCATTTAAATGGGCCAAACAAGACACAATTTTCTGAATACTGCAAGCCCAACATGAAACAAATGGATATGCTTTCATCCATGACTTCATCCAAGATGCTAAACCCAAACAGAAGAAGTAAATGACTACTGGTCGAATTTTTCAAACATATTTATAACATCCTTAAGTCCTAATTAGGAGATATTAAGTCCTAATTAGGAGATTGCTATGTCCTAATTAGGAGATATTAAGTCCTAATTAGGAGATACCTACGTCCTAATTAGGAGATACCTAAGTCCTTATTAGGAGATACCTAAGTCCTAATTAGGAGATACCTAAGTCCTTATTAGGAGATACCAAAGTCCTCATTAGGAGTTTGCTATGTCCTAATTAGGAGATATTAGGTCCTAATTAGGAGATACCTAAGTCCTAATTAGGAGATATTAAGTTCTAATTAGGAGATTGCTATGTTCTAATAAGGAGATATTAAGTCCTAATTAGGAGATACCTAAGTCCTAATTAGGAGATACCTAAGTCCTTATTAGGAGATACCTAAGCGCTTATTAGGAGATACCTAAGTCCTTATAAGGAGATATCTAAGTCCTAATTAGGAGTTCGCTATGTCCTAATTAGGAGATACCTAAGTCCTAATTAGGAGATATTAGGTCCTAATTACGAGATATCTAAGTCCTAATAAGGGGATATTAGGTCCTAATTAGGAGATACCTAAGTCCTAATTAGGAAATATTAAGTCCTAATTAGGAGATAGTATCACCTAATTAGGAGATAACAAAATTCTGACTGTGGCACTAGGACGCTTCCGTAACAATCCACAGCAAAGTAGATCTATTACTTGTTTGTCTGTGTGGAATGTGGGGAACGCATTATTTCATCATGGTGCTGAGATGAGATTTGGACGGGAGACTGCCGTGTAACAGTATTTGCGCACCCCGGTTTTCAACGTTCGTCAAGCATGCCAAATCGTCAACGGGGAAATGTGACTGAAATGATCTCTCACTGTTGTTGTCTCACATTCTGCTACACTGATGTGGTACAGGTCTTGTTTTATTATTCTGGTGAAGCCTTTAACCAAAGGTAAAGTGACACTTCAAGTACGATTCTCGCGTTCTGTCCCATTTTGCATATTCAGCAATAAAACATATGCTTCTTGAGGCCAAAATATCTACAAAGTCCCTTACTGTAGACACATTCAGCCAAACCTGAGAGCCAGACCATTCGATCCAGTTTAAAAGCTGCATACGACCAGTACTGGGGTCCTTGGGACCATGTGGTTATAATCCGGTTATGGGTTAAGTCAGTCATGTACGCCAGTGATGGTTTCTCCAGTATGTGTCGACGTCAGAGCGTGATCGACTATACCGCTTATAAACTCATTAACAAAATAAGAAAAAGAAACGCACAGGCCAAAAACAAGGAAAGGTATTAAACGTATTTAGCTGTACATAAGTCGATTAAGCTTGAACATGGATGAAGGAAATTCGACACACGGATGAACATATGTATTGTTGTCATTGTCAGCATTGATTCAGTTCACTCACTGCACATGTGTGGACGCGCCGATCATAGATGCTTGATCGGGTTTAGATCAAGCGGTTTGGAAGACCAGGAAGAACATTGACGTTTTCACTGGCACCTGTTACAGAGCTGTGTGGGGTCGAGCGTCGTCGTGTGTAAATAGCTCCCTCTGGTGGTTAAGATTTGGGAGGAGCCGAGATCGCAGGATTTGGTCGATGTAGCGATTTGCTGTAAGATTACCTTGAACCACCACTAGCTTTGATCTACCCGTGTAAGACATGGCTCTTCACACCATGAGGCTATCTCCACCAAATCTGTCCACCTTTCGAACGCAGTTCGGCACAAAACGTTCGTATTGACGTCGATAGACATGTTGTCTCCCATCGCTTCGTTGCAGGACAAAACGCAATTCATTGCTGAAAATGAACCCCTCGTCGCCAGTTCCCCAGGTTCCATGCCTGTACCCTGTTGCACCAATGGAAACGTTGTTGTCGGTGTAATCGTGTCTGGACAGGTCCAACTTTAGGTCGATATGCTCGAATTCCGACTTCTCTCACACGATTTCTGATGGTTTGGTCGGAAATTCATCGAAGACCAGACACCTGCCCTGCAGTGTCCGTTGCTGTAGCAAATCGGTGACGTAGGTGAAACACCCGGATGAATCGGTCCTGAGCAGGAGTGGTCACTCTTGGTCCTCCACTTCTGTGACGATCTGGGGTCGAATTGAAGCGGGTATATCAATCTATAATCGAAATATGGTGCTGTGGGGGACGTTGAAGTGTCTTGCAACGGCAGACGTGGACTCCCCTGCTTCCAAACGTCCAATGACGATATTTCGGTCAGTAGCATTCAATCTTGGCATTTTTTTAATCTTCCTTTATGTCGTAAATTTCGTAATGAAAGATGAATATGGTGTGGCTTTTCATAATCGATGTGTCCACCCACTGGCACGTGCATTGCAAAACCTTTTCTGCATGCACTTTTCATTTTTATAAAACTTTTAACAAACACATTCTGGGATGCGTTTGCGCGCAATACACAACAACCACGACATGATGAGGATTCAAACATAGCATTGTCTTAATGACGATTGCTCTAAAATATATCGAAATGGACTGCTGAAAACGCCTGTGCGTTTCCATTTTTAAGAGTGTATTATTAACATGGGGTAGATAAACGAGGTTTAGAAATATTACTCACGTTATATGATATTGTATATTGTAAATATTACAGTCAAACCGACAACATTCCATCATCTGAAACCTGCTATCCGTCCCATTGATAACGAGCATCTGACACATCCGGGACCAGTATCTTGTATTATGCTAGTCAGGTAGAGTAAAGCTAACAGATCTAAGGGGTATTACATACAATCTGAATTTACGGCTATGTTTATATTTCACGTTGATCAAATCACGCGAGTATGACACACGTTCATTTGTTATATGCTCACAACTCGTCATCCATTATACACCTTTATCATCAATGCTTCGGTCAAACTAAATGATATAATTCTGTCGAGATAGCGAAACTGATGTTCATTGTAACAACTGTATCATCAGTGAACCGGTATTTTACAGCGATTACAGGTGATAGCTAGAATGGGTATACAAAACGGACGACAGACAGTCATAAATCACACTGTGTCTGACTAATAAACTCATCGTATATTCACTCAGGTTTTGTGCTGCTATGTGTATTGGTTGTGCACAATGGTACCCCTGTCAAGCGAGTGAATATTATTTCAACTGTAACAGGACGACACATGGAACAGCTGCAGTGACTGTAACAAATGCATCGTTAATATAAATGCATTCTCACACCCAAGCGTCACGACTCATCCCTTGTCAGATCTAGCCACCCAAAGCTATAGATACAGCTGGCTACCTCGCCGTACTTCAGTCTGCCGCATCCAGTCCAAGATGAACGTATACCTGGTAGTCCTGACTGTTGGGGTGAGCGCCGCCCTACTCCTCATGTCCCTTCCCCGAGTGGAGGGATTAAGGTGTGTCGGATGCAGTTCGGTGAGGGTCAGATGTAAGCCCCTCCCCAGTTCCTGCCAAGCTACTCGAGCGCCATGTGGGTGCTGCAACATCTGTGCAGGGAAAGCTGGTCAGCAGTGCTCCTTTTTTAAACCGTATGTTTCACTTTGATTGTTTTCTTAAACGGCAGAAGTTTCTTTCTTCCGATCCAATTTTTTACACTATGACCGCTTTGGAGATTTTCCTCCAAAAACACCATAAGAGCGTTGGTTGTCTAAGATGCTGCAGGTCACCTATACTATATGTGGTTATAACCCTGAAATTATACATCTAACACTGATAGAATGTAAGGATAGGACATAACGCAAAAACACTCATAATAATTAAGGTATTACCACTGATGATATATAACGTTATAACACTGATCAATGTTATCTGAGATTGTAAAACTGATATTCTACGCGGGTAAGACACTGATACTATATGACGTTGTTACGTGTTGAGTCCAAAGTTGAAACCAAAACATTAATAGGTAATATATATATAATAAGCTTAGATGATTGCATTTGATGATTGCAGAAGCGTATTAAATTTTTGGATTGTTGGATATGTATAAAATTGTAAAGGGATGTGCAGACGCCGCAATGCTTAATATTTATTACAACTGAGCAAGAAATGATATTCATCTTCTATATACGGCAGTTTACAGATATTACATAATCTGTCATTTCTAGCCTCTCCAATATACCTGCCAGTTTCTATTCGTGGTTTATGAGACCCCGATCTAAACTGAGCAAGAGCACTTCTATGTTTAAAATAGCTAATTGTGAAGATATACGATTCAACACCGAACATAGGTTTAAACAACGAGTATCCAAATGTTTTTGTGCCTTGTATTTGTGCAGAATGCCAGTCTTGTTGATCATAAACTTTGAGTCTACCCCGAAATTCATTTATAAATAGCGATTCACTTCGAACCATCTGTTCTTGCCAAACAAATCCAAATCCATATTCTTCTAATGTACGCTTTATCCTAGATGCCCAGCTCTTGCAACCATTACTTTCCATTTGTACAAGCATATTATAACATTTCTTTACATAACGCTCATTTTTAATATTTTACACCAATACTTAATAGCCCTTTTGATGGTATAAATATACAATGGATATCTTCCACATTCGCCTCGCACAACGTGCGCTGAAACAGAGGATTTAATTCCAAGAAATCGTTTACAAGCTGCTACATGTATAACTTCTGTTTCGTTAACAACATTCAGTCCCCATATTTCTGCACCATATAATATAATTGGGCAAACTTTGGTGTCGAAAATCTTAAAGAACAAGTCAAAAGGTAATGGCTTAAACCGAGATTTAAAAATACCAAAAAAACATTGTTTGGCCTGCAGACATACATTTTCTATGTGGTTGGTCCACACAAATGACCTACTGAATAATATACCTTGATATTTGTACCAGGAAACACATTCTATTTTGTACACCATTATAGAACCATTTTTCATACTTCGACAGTCTTACACCTTTTGTGAAAAATATTACCTTTGTTTTTTTCCATATTTACAATTCTCAGAACAAAATATCTTTAGGACATCACATCTTTTCTGTAGACAAAAACTGTATCGGGATAAACACAACATCATCAGCAAATAAAAGAAGAAATTACTGTACAAGTTCAGGATGAAGCTGAATTCCTGGTACGCAACATGCTTCGATTTCATAAGCTAGTTCATTGATAAGAATGGGAAATAGAAGAGGGCTTAGGATACACCCTTGTCGCAAACCCAATGGACAATCAAAACATGTTGATAAATTATTGTTAAATTTGACACACGCTTTAACACTTGCATAGAGGGCTTGGATTGATTTTAGCATTTTACTGCTTACTCCTCTTAGCCTTAATATATTCCACAGTTTTGCCCTATTCACAAAGTCAAATGCTTTGGAAAAGTCTATGAAACATGCATACAATTTACCCCTCTCTTTTGGGAGATAGCGTTCAATAACGGATTGTAGGATAAAATGTTATCAATATACTGTAACCTTTGCGAAACCCCGCTTGCGATTCAACGATTTTTTCATAGCAAGAGCACCAGTCTAATATTCAGAATGTGTATGTACAGCTTGCTGAAGATACTTGTAATTGATATACCTCTGTAATTGTTAATTACTCTAGTGCCCCCTTTCTTATGTATAGGAACAATAAGGCCCATACACCACGATTCTGGAAAATATGCTCGATGAAACAGAACATTGAATAACAGCTGCATATAGGGAACTAAAATATCCTGTGAGGATTTAAATAATTCTGCTTTGATATGATCAGGCCCAGCACTCTTAGATGATTTTAGTTCAGTAATCGCTGCACAGATCTCATCTCTTGTAATAGGAGCGTCAAGTATACTAGGGCTGTCTTGAACTATCTTTTCTTCAATATCATGATCAAGAGAATGTAATTCGACATTAAATGTATTTGTATGCTGAAATATGTTTTTGAAATGCGTATACCACGAGTCCATCGTTATGTGAAGAAAGCCTGCACAAGGTGTCCCAGAACAATTTTGAGTTATTCAGATTTGCAAGTAATTCATCTTTTACAGATCCGTAGTAATCTCTTTTTTTTAGATTTTAAAGTACAATTGGACATACATTCGTAGCGATGCTACATCGTTAAAATGCCTAAAACATCCCAAAAGTTTGTCTTTCTCATGTCATAGAAATGTGCACTCTTTGTCAAACCAATTTTAAATCCTGTGTTACGTTACCATCCTCGCGTGGAGTGGCGTGTATACCACGTGACTGAAACGTACATCGTACAGGTAAATGATCACACTCTGACCTCGTAACGACATCGAATTCGTGACACCATGTGAATAAAGAACTTGAAGTGATAATATAGTCAATGGCACTTGTACCCACTGCTGAACAAAAGTATATTCACCCACACCTGCATCTGAACCACATCTTCCATTCATGATAATGAGATTGAAGTAAATACAGAGCTGTAGCAATGAACGCCAGTATTTGTTTATCACCATGTCACGCGAATGTCGTCATATATTACGGGTATCGTGTATATATGAGCAATGGTCTAACCAACATGACTTGAAATATCATGTAAAATGTAATCCAACTCTATACCTGTTCTTGCATTAAAATCCACACCTAGCGGTACATCTACATTGCCCAGCTGTTAAATTATGTCAAGTAATGATTCTTGAAAAATACGTATTCCACACTTAGTGGGCTTGTTGTTATACCATGAAGATCTTTCTGGGTGTTTGTACACACAAGCCATAAGTATATCCTTATTTGTAGAGAGCATAGCTTTATCAAACACTAACAATATTGCATTCTCAGTACATTTGTGTAACTTAATGAAGTTTTGTATACTCTTTCTAACTAACACTAGAATGCCGCCTGATAGTCTTCCTGCATTGGATAGTTTCACTGCTGGAACACTATAACGCACATACTCAGGGAAATCATCTTCAAGAGAAGTATGATCATGCCAGGGCTCAGTGAGTCCCACAAGGTCATGGTGTGCTAGGAAGGATAAGAAGACATTATCACACACCTTAGAATACAGTCCATTAATGTTCCAAAAAATGACACTAATACAAGATTCCGCCTGGGCGGGGCCACGCCCCTATCCGTTATCATTCTGACCACCCTTCCTTTGTCGGTGGGCTCGTAGTCGAGGGCGAGTGTTTGTATCGCTCATTATTACCCACGTTGTCAACGTATGGGTAGTTGCATACTAATCTCGTACGTCACACGAGTGTCGTATCGCGTTGACCTGTGTCGTAACGACTTGACCTGAGATTCTAACGATTTGATTGGATAACCGATGACCTCTCAATTAGGTCACATTCTGACGTAACTATTTTTTCATTCATAAAAACACGTGAATTCATTCATTCTACAACTTAAATGCATTGTGGGAATGCAAACATTGCGATCGTTGCCGTGTCGCTGTTTAATTGTGAGTCGAACTGAGACATTATATCCGTCGAAAAACATAAACGCAATGTTTCCACCAGTGATGTTAGCCGAATGAAGCAACTGCAAACCAAGAAACGGGGTGCTACGGAGTAGTTTACTGTAGGAGGCGATGACAACTGACATGCATCGTGACGTCGGTTACCAAGGCAGTGACGTCTTACAGTGTTACATTATGCAAATATTGTACTACAGTACAAAACTCTTCCGCAAACCTCTTTATGAAACCGGTTTCGGTTTGAAGCCATAAAAATAACAAAAAATACGCTATTTTGTCAATTTAATGCATGTAAGACGTGGGTAATAAATAAAATACCACACTCGGTCTCATTACATACGAATTATACGAAACGAGTGTCCTTCCTATGATATCTGACCGAGCGAAAGCGACCATAGGAAGGGCACGAGTTTCGTATAATTCGTATGTAATGAGACCGAATGTAGTATTCTCTATGTCCGTCCGACAGCCTATCTGGCTGGCTAGCAGATGATTCATCAGCGTCATTGATGATAAGCTTGCCGTTGGAGTCCCCATACCCAATACATTTCAGTTTATGTCTCAGACTGACCGCCCATGACTTATCCCTGGGTACATAAACTTCACTATCATGGGTCTGGGTGATCTTTTACCTGTTGAGCCCAGGCGATGTGCAGCTACGATAGTATCAGTGTGAGTGGTGAGTCCTCTTATCCGGCAGTGTCGTTGAGTATATCGCAAACATACTTCTTACATACGAGGGAAGTCTCATTCTCCTTCTCTGACACACCGTTGATGATTGCGTTATTTCTTCTGCTGTACTGCTCCTGTCTGTCAATTTCACTAGTAAGCGCGTCAATCTGCTGTAGTAGGCCTGTTCTATTGTCGGGGTTTAACAACTCGGTTACGTCTTCCAGGCGATCTAGGCGGTTAGCAACTTCAACAATGTCACATTGTATTATGTCCTGCTGATGCTGAATATTGTTTATATCTCGTTGCACCTCAGCTAGGGTCGTGTTAATTCTCCGTGTCTCCATCTTTAGTTCATATATTTCTTTCTTCATGTCAGTCTTAAATTATTTTAATTCTGATAATATATCCTTTTGAATAACCATCACTGTCCTTCACCTGTAGGCCCTGGTTTAAGTTCAACATCTCCAC